CTCTCTCCAAACATGCTATTACAAATCAAACGCATGACTTCAGAGATATTAGTGATGATATATTCCCTTAATCCTCGTGAGGTTTAGTAAAACTCCTTCGGTTCCCGCTTATCACAATGATCTTTGCTAATAAATAAACGATGAACATGCAACTGAGCAGCAACTATAAATTGAAACATTTATTAAAAAAATGGTATTGTAACGCTGTCGAAGGAAGTGTATAAGCTAGTTATAGCTTTAGATAAAAAGTCTTAGTTGGTCAAAGTTAGATGTAAATAAAATGCTATTACATTTTCATCTTTCTGTCTATCTATAATTTTCACTTGAATTTTTAAAAGAAAGTGTGCAGTTATAATGTGAAATGTTCCACACGTAAAAAAACTAGAAAATAATAAAAAGGACAACTTTTATGCAGCTAACACTGAATTATGATAGTTTAGCTAGTTGCAGATTATACTTATCGTGTTAAGAATATTTTGTTAAAACAAGCGTAAGAAGTCTTATTGAGTCTGTATATTGAACTACATAAAGGACCTCTTTAAAAACATTATGTAATTCAAACACATAAAACCACTAAAACAAAAACATGCAAGTGATTGAAAGGGTAGTGTTTTGTTATTTGACCTAGCTCAAATTTGTCTCTTTGTATAGCACTTCCAAAAATACAACATCTTTATGTCAAGTATTTCATGGATTAGGGGATTGACTTTGTACGAGCAAAGAATTTTAAGAAAAGGAGCAATGTATATAATCTTTACGTTTTTCACTGGGGTAAAAAACAATGCACAAAACCTGTCATACAATATATCTGGCCTACTAAAAAACAATAAACAGTTATTGCACAAACGAAAATTTTTTTAAACTCTGTATAAATCTGGAACTGGTGAAAAGTTGTAAATGAGTGCGACTGTGTTGTGTTGAAGTAAGCTCTCAGGGCTTTCCCTTTTTTTGAACAATGCTCGAGCATTTCTGGAGTAGCTAAGTGAAAGAAAATATTATAATGAAAATGTAAAAACAAGTAAAATATGCAAACGATTCATAAATGTAATAATGACGTCGAAGATCCACAATGCGCTCATGAAATTTCATTCAAATTGTCGTAACAAACCAAAGATGAACGCTAAACCACAAACAATTTTTACCTTTCGTCGACTAAAGAATAGTTTCAATGGATTGTTGAACGCACGATGACGTCGAAACGAAATGATAAACATCATATGAGACTCCACTTGTTGTAAACAAAAAATAAATGTGATTTATATCAACGCAGTTAAAGAAAACTGTGACGCTTTTGAACTGCTAAAGAAATATACATAACAATGGCAGCACGTCACATATCGCAAGACGCAAGAAAAGAAAGTCATAGTTCTTTTTTTAATGAATCTTTTTTTTAATATTGACGCTATCACAAGTGTATTTCCAACAATACCAAATACTCATATTGCTATATGTCACACAGGGACAACTTTCATAATAATATACTTAATAATTTTGAGCTACTTAATGTATGGGAGAGCTCGATTTTCTTTATTTCATGTTTCAAATGGATTTCCAATGATGTCAAATACACATCTTGTCACAATGGAAAATATAAAAGCATCCATAACGATATCATTGATATAACTCATTTATACAAATTGTGACTATTAAATGTAGGTTTGAACAGATAAATCTTAAATTTTGAAAAGTTGTACTGTAAAGTTGTTTAACCAAATATCAAACAACTTCACTGCCGTTCAGTACTTCCTTTTCCATTGAATAAACAAAAATCCAATATAGCGTAGCATTACGGCTGTGCTAATATAAGCACGTCTTTAGGAATAGAACTCGTAAAAATTATTGGCCATTTTCTATGACAAAAACCCATATTAGATTCTGTTAAAATGAATTATTTTACCAAATTGAGAAAAGTACCATTAATTGTCAATAACTCCCATTTATTGAATGTTTGCTCATAGGAAAGGTCGTAGCTACAAACAAATACGCTACGGGAAGTTTTTTTCATGTTTGTGGATTTTTACAGGTTAGTAGAGTTCTGATAAGGATGTTGGTGTTGATGTTGTCTGACGTTTTGACAACCTTAGCGGTAGTCATCTTCAGAATCGAGCAAAAATTGAATGCAATAAACATTTTGTCGTCTGGAAAATTAATTAAGTCAAATAATTAAGAAAAATAATTAAGCCGAGTTGGAGTTCATTATAAAATGCATCAGGGTAAACGTGCGTGAAATCTTTTGCTCAATACTTTCATAGGGTGTATTTTATCCCCAATTCTGCATTTAATCTTCAATTCTGCGTTTTATAACCAATTCTGCGTTTTATTCTAAGCTAGTAGCAACCTACGTAGCAACGTAAGTAGCAAACTAAGTAGCAACGTAAGTAGCAACCTAAGTAGCAACTTAAGTAGCAACCTAAGTGACAACTTAAGTTGCAACGTTAGTCGCAAATTAAGTCACAACTTGAAAGGAAAAAATGGAGGAACGGTCCTTATGAGCCAACGTAAAATACATATATTTTCGAACTGCGAACGCCATAGATTTTACTTGGAAAAACAATTGCGTAAAACAAAGGAGAGGTTTTGACAAACTACTCGGTATGAATAAGTTTTTCATAGTAATAGTTTTGGCATTTTTCTTAACTAATGAAAGGAATATTGTGTATGACAGTACTGAGCAAATGTTTGATACACGTTAAGTGAAACAATTTAGTTCAAAAATCTAATTGATTTAAGAAAATCTTAAATGATTTAATGCATTTCATTCTTGGGAATTAACCTACATATTAGCATTTAGTACAGCTGCAGCGCGATCCACAGCTGGAATTAAAACATGCTGCAAACTTGTTTGGTATACGGATGCTGAAGAAATGCTGGAAAAGGAAACATTTCAAGACACCGGTAAGCAACGTAAGATTGTTTACTATTTAAAGTGTTCAGTGTTTTGTTTTAATTCAATACTTGAAGTGTGATGGTATATATTTTGTGAATGTTTTTACTCCTAACTTATGATTTAAGTAATGTTTATCCAGTCTTATTTGTTCTTTACTTAATCGCTTGCTAGACGAGACTAAGCAACCAATTCTTATCGAGATATGCATATCTTAAAACTCCTTGTTTCAACTGAGTTTACCTTCAAGAAATGGAGGATTTTTTCATGATATTTTTCTGAAATTATGAAGCAAATATTAAGGACAGAGCTTTATTAAATCAAATGCAGTGCAGGATTAATTAATGAACTCTTTGGTACATGTCGTACAATAAAAAATTCCTGTATTAAACACCTAGCCTAGACAGTTTAACAGATTATGGACAATCATGATGATGGTGTGTAAGGGTTTGCTTTATGCTAAAAGTTTTAAATGCTATCTGGTGTTTCTGTAAATGAATTGTTTGTTATAGTAAACAGGTTAGAACATCAAAATCAAGATAAAAACTACTTTGTTCAATAACTTACCAAATTATGCTCCTGCCTTGAAATATTTGCTCAAGAAAAGCTTATGATGAGAGGGCATAATGTAAAATTCAAAAGTTTGTCAAGTTGTTTGAACCTAGAAAAAATTAGTATAGGTAACTGTAATTTGTAAGGACGCAGGAGAATAGTAGTGCAAGAAGGTTAGCATTTTTGAGAATTAATAAGTTCTTCTTGACATACATTACACAAGGCCATAATATTATAAGTAATGACTGTACAATAACAATTATACAACATGCTAAATATCTTCACCTACATTTTAATTATTTAAACAGATTTGCCTTCATGCAGCAATAAAAAAAGTGTTATGTCAGAGAAACCAATGCACTTTAATTTAAGAAATCGTATTTTCAATGGGAAATTAATGTAGTTCTGTTCAGCAGTAGATCCATGGTTGTCAATGACAATCCAGTTTCTAATATCTTGGCTCAAAACAGAACCAGCAACATGATTATAGAATTTCTGAATTTCGTTCTTTTGCTCTCCTAGTTCAAGATATTTTCTTCATAAGTTCTCAGTAGATTTATCAGAATATCATAATACCTTATAAGACACCCAGAATCAATCCTACCAAAAAAAACTCAAAAAAATTACATACCTACTTATAATATATTTCCAGTCGACTTGAGTCGTAGGGGTAAGCTAACTTTTTCTAACTCGTTTTTGGACGTTTTAACTAAGATTTACATATCTATTTAAGAAAGAAAGTTGCACCAAGCTGTTTAAAAAATAGTCAAAAAAACACGAAATGCTAATGGAATATGCATTAAGCTTAACGACACATTGACAGTGTAAAGAATGGCGTTTGATATTTATTTCTAATATAGCTAAAGCATTACTTGACAAAATATACGTTATTTTACAGTAGATTTACCTCGTTTAAATGTGTGTGTTTATTTCACAAAAACCTGAAGCATTATTTTCAATATTTTGTTCTTACGGTATCGTGGTTGTTTTCGCTGGTTGTCATTAATATAAGCAGTAATAAAGATCCGGATTCGGGAGGGAGCGAATGTTAAACGTTTTTCTCAAAGTGGACGTTTTGACAACCAAAATCCGCCTTTCCCGCCATGTTTTTGACCACGGGATCCAGGCCCCTTTCCCCTCCAGGTCTTATAGAACTCAATGGCCGATACGATACCAAATACTCGATACTATCGATACCAGGGTCTCGAAGAAAAGTATCGATATTTGTATTTCGAATTTTAATATTTATGCGCTTGCGATTTTTAATGTTTTGGTCAGCGGATAAATCATGAAAAATACTGTATCCTTAAAAATGCTAATTTATATGCATTGAAATGAAATACACGAAACGCTACCTGAAGAAATCGAAACCAAATCTTACATCAGACACATGAGATTTTACCCCAGATACGCGTGTGTAGTGTTTCGAGATTCTCTCGCGGAGTAATAATTATTGAGTGCACTCGCATGTCTGGGGTAAAATCACGGTGTCAAACAAATTTTGCCAGTGCTTTTACGAATGAAGCACGACGTTGTGTGTGCCTGCACGGATTCACGTCCTTTAAATCCGTAAACATTTTGAGATTGTTGAACTTGAAGGTAAGTTTTTTAGTTTTTGAATGCTTTTTTAGTACGTGATTTTAATATGATTTGCCCCCGGACGTTTTTCAGTTCCTTTTTTAAACATGTTATAAATAATGGTAGACGGCCATTAAAAAATCTTCAAATTTGATAAAAATGTAGAAGCGTTAGAAATCCAAGGGAAGGTGACAGTGCTGACGCTAGTGCCATTTATACTGCTGTCAATACCAAGCGTCAGAGAAGTGCTGTTCGGGATTATTTCCAAAAGTTTGCAGACTCTGCAAAAACAACGGGAACATCGAAGTGCAGTATCTGTAATGAGAACATGGCAGCAACAGTTCAATTTATTCAAGGTAGCTTGGCTGATCGCAGACAAATGTAGTTATATAGTATAGAACTTTGTGTGTGAACTACTCAACGGTTTATTTTTTTTAGCATTTGAAGATGAAACATCAAGAGCAATACAAAGAAGCTGAAAGGAAAAGAAAATTATTTGAAGAAAACAATGCAAAGAAATGTATCAAAACAAAAAAACAAACAACACTCAATGACACTATGCTACATGGAAAATACTCCTCCACGTCAACAAGACGTAGGAAAATAGGCGAAGTTGTGCTGAAAATGATAACTACTGACCTTCAACCTCTATCTGTAGTAGAAGATGCGGGGTTTCGATCTTTACTACATTTAATGGATTCCCGATACCATCTTCCATCCAGAAAAACCATCACTCGAATGCTGCCTAAAATCTACTCCAAACGTGTGCAAGAAATTAAGCTGGAGCTTGATGAGATATATTATGTTGCCCTCACAAGTGACTTGTGGACATCAAGCTATCTCACCATTACTTGCCATTTTATTACTTCTTCATGATTCTGAAGTCACTGGTTCTTGAGACCTTGGAATTCCAATCGAGCCACACTGCTGAAAACATTGCTGCATCGTTTCTGAGGGTTGCCGAGTCATAGCAGATATCAAAGAAGATTGTTGCACTGGTAACAGATAATGTTGCCAATGTAGTTGCTGCCGTTAGAATAACTGGTTGGAATCATGTCAAATGCTCTGCACATACGTTGAACCTTGTAGTGTCGGAAGTATTCGAGACTAACCTGGTAAATGATATAAGGAAAAGATGCAGACAAATTGTGACATTTTTTCATCAGAGTACAAAAGCCACGGCCAAGTTGAAGGAGATTCATGCTCAAGCACAGGTTCCTGATCACAAACTCGTCCAGGAAGTAGACACACGATGGAACTTTACGTTTCATATGTTTGAACGCATGATCGAGCAGCATAAAGCCGTTAGGACAACACTTTGTCTTTTTAATTGCAATGATCTATGCCTCAATTAATCAAATATGGAATTGCTTAAAGCGGCAGTGGCTGTTTTAGAACCTTTTGAACATGCCACAACCGAGATATTAGCGGATCAATACATTTCAATCTCAAAGGATATACCTCTTGCTTAGTCCCTCCAGCATTTGACCTCGTCAAGTATCTACAAACATACAACTTTTGTTTCTGCGTTAAGTGCTCAACTGCTTTGCTTTTTTACAGGCGTTGAAAGTGTAAATTTTCTAGCCCTTTCGACTTTACTAGACCCCTGCATAAAGAAACTAGCCTTCATTAGTTTGGTAACTGCACGACAGGTGAAGCATTGGATTATGCATGAGATGAAACAGCATGTTCCTGCAGTACCCACTGATGCAGAAATAAGAGCACCAAATCCGGTGAAAGAAGATGTCGGATTATGGATCTTTTCGATAACAAAGTTGCAGATAAAGAAGTGCAAGCAAGTTCTACCATCGCTGTTGAGAAGGAATCTGGAAGATATTTTGATAATAAGATCCTACAAAGAGATGAAGATTCGCTGAAATGGTGGAAAGAAAATGAGAAGGTTAAATAGTTGAAATATTATTAAACAAAAAGAATGATTATATGAGAATGAATGTGATTATACTTATACATATCGGCAAGCGGGATGCTTGTAACAATCTATGTTTAACATCGTATTTTTAGACGTATTCCTGACGCACATCGCTTTCAATTTCATCGAAGAAGCCATTATCAATGAAATTGAAAGCGATGTGTGCCAGGAATACGTTTAAAAAGATATCGTGAAAAAAGTCATCTCATAAAAGTCATCTCATCTATTGTCAATCCTTTTGAAATTTACATCATGGCGGAAGGTTGTGCTCTCGAGTACAGCTTTCTTGGCGATATTCTTGGCCTATTTGGGCAATTTGCCTTCGCACAATGGCCTCATAGACTATTATTACCATCGTTCACAATCAAGAAAGAAATATATTTTTCAGTGCAAATGTAGACGTTGGTGCTACCGCTGTCGCTACACGTGGTAACGTTCGAAAATTTAGGTGCCCCCAGCGTTCAAAGTTCCTCTCGAGGCGTTTTAAATACTACTCAAATGCCTCCTGTGCTTTTAACCCAGCTATTTTCAAAATCCTACACAGTGGTGACGTTGAAATAAATCCCGGTTACGCACCTAAAGACACGATACAACCCCGAAGACAAAATCACACTTGGAAGTTGAAGGTATTCTACACAAACGCCAGGAGCATTGTCAACAAAGTTACCAAATTACAATTGCAACTGGCTAATAGTCAAGCAGATATCGTTGTTCTAACTGAGACGCATTTAGACTGTTCGATTTCAAGTGAGGAAGTTATTGGTAGCGATTATACTGTCTACCGGAAAGAACTCCCCGGCAATGGAGCTAGACATGGCGGTGGTGTTTTGATCGCGACGAAGAAAGACATAATCACCTCAACACGAGAAAACCAAGATCTACCTTCTGAGTTACTATTTCGTGATATAATCACGGACGGAGGGAAGAAATTAACAATTGGAACATTTTACAGACCGCCAAATAGTGACTTGAAGCCTCTGGAAGACCTTCGGTCATATCTTTCTTCGATTACAACTACAGATCTTGTCATTACTGGAGATTTTAACCTAAGCGAATTTGATTGGTCTATGAACCATCCTACTAAATCATCTGAGCATCACTACCTCCTGTCTGAAATAGTTCAAGACCATTTTTTGTATCAAATGGTTGACGAGCTTACTCGTGGAAACAACATATTAAACTTAGTACTAACGACTAACATCGACCTGATAAATAACTTGGAAGTCCGTGAATAATTCTCCGATCATACTTCAATAACATTCATCGTAAACACTCGCCCCTACCAACAACGGATCTCAACTTAAAAAAATTATGCATTCAACAAAGCAGACTGGAATCATCTAAGATCTTTGTTCAGTTATTCACCCAGGTACTTTACAATAGAACAACAAGACATAAATGCTAACTGGGAAGCATGAAAACACCTTTATTTTGCAGCGGTAAATGAAAGTATTCCCAAGTACCGGCATAGAAGAAAAAACATCGCTCCAAAAAAATCCAACAATGAAAATCACTGGGCCGCCTATCGTACTTTGAACAATTCTTTGAAAAAGAAATGCAACTCAGCCAAATGGAAACATCTTGAGGCACTCGCAGATAAATTGCAGGTTGAGAATAATTCCAAGCCCTTTTGAAACTACATGCGTTCAATAAGAAAGGGAACTAACGACCTATTATTCCTAAAAGACGGAAGTGTAGAAATCACTGGGGATCAGGAGATTGCACAACATATGAATGCATATTTTGCATCAGTATTTACACAAGAACAAAAGTATCTTCCGGAATTTGATCATGTTCTCAATGAAAAGTTGTGCAATGTATTATGTACACCTAGCGAGGTGGAAATACATCTGAAAAACCTAAACATACACAAATCCCCAGGTCCTGATAAATTATCGCCTCGTATCCTTAAAGAATGTGCCCTGTGCCTACGTCACTTTGTAACTTATTTAACATGTCGTTCCAATCCGGCTCACTACCCAACGACTGGAAAATTGCACACGTTATTCCAATTTATAAAAAGGGACCAAAATATAGAAAGGAAAACTATCACCAGGTCTCGCTAACATCTATTACCAGTAAAACGGCGGGGAAGGTTGTGAAATCGAGAGTTGTCTCATTTTGGACGGATCACCAACTACTAAACCCAAGCCAATTTAGATACCTGGAGGGCCAATCGACAGTGTCACAACTTTTAAGCTGTTATAATGACTGGTTTTTAACAAGAAATTTGTCTAAAGTGTCTGATGTAATATTTCTGGACCTATCAAAAGCGTTCGACAGTGTCCCTCATGAGCGCCTACTTTGAAAACTCAATACGTACGGGATAGACGGACAGCTGCATCTGTGGTTCAAGAACTTCTTAACCAATCGAAAACAAAGAGTTACGGCACGTTCATCGTTCTCGGATTGGTCACCAGTTACATCTGGTGTCCCTCGAGGCTCAGTACTGGGACCGGTTATGTTCCTAATTTATGTGAACAAAATACCTGGCATCATCACGTCTACTGCCAAAATATTTGCCGACGATACCAAAATCTACCGACATATAAATAATAGCGATGATTCTATTGCTTTACAGATTGATCTGACAACCCTCGACCTATGGGCGGATCGTTGGCAGATGAAATTTGATTCTACTAAATGTGAAGTCATGCGAATTACACATAACAGAGACAAAAAGTCCACGCGGCTCAATGTATCGAGTACAGTGTTGAGGAATGTATCTATAATTACAAAGAACTTGGAGTTATTATGACTAGTGATCTGAAATGGTCAAAACATGTTGAACAAATAGTTCACAAAGCAAATAAGGTTCCTGGCTTACTTAAACGCACAGTAGGCGGTAAAAACAAATATAATTTTTTAAACTTGTACAAAACCTTGGTTCGTCCAACCTTGGAATATGCCTGCCCGGTGTGGTCACCACACCTCATGAAAGACATCGATGAAATTGAGAAGATACAAAGAAGAGCCTCGCGAATTGCCTTAGGCCAAAAAAGACAATAGATGGCGTACACGGAGAGGTGTAAAATTCTTAAATGGAACTCTTTAGTACAAAGGAGAGATTTCCTTTCCTTAGTGGAATGTTATAAAACTGTATTCAATCTAAATTGATTGAATTTCAGCGACTATTTTGAACTTTGTAAAAACACTAAATCGAGATCTAACCACCCATATAAACTACAACTCAAACTCGCAAAACTGAACTGTTACAAAAATTCTTTCTTCGTCAGAATTATCAAACCCTGGAATAATCTTCCTGTCAATTTATTTAATTGAGCACAACCAAAACATTTTTTAAACACACAGGTTTTTTTAACCACTAAAATTTCAATATTTGTATATAATGTTAACAGATCGCTTTGTTAGCGAAAACAAAATCTATAACTAATGCTTCGTTTGCATTTTGAAATATGTACTTCCTAATACTTACACTTTATTACGATGTATGCCCAATTGATTTGTCTGAAAAGCTGCTGGCAATCCATTTGCTGTTGCTCACTGACTTTCAGTGAACGATCTTTCCTCAGCCACTTTTTGGAGCACTCGCATGATGCACTCAAACCTCAAAAGAAATTCGTTTAGATAAAATTCTCTTGCATTCCATCGAACTGTATTAAGAACTGTATTTAATTGAAAGAATTTTGAGGTTTTCATTCTTTTAAACCGATTAAAACAATTCGTGTACTTTATGAGAATTTTAAAGAGAACGTGCCGTTTTTCGAGAGAGTCAAAAAGAGTAATAACATCAATAGCAAGACAAGCTAAATCGGACAAGACGAGATTTAGCGTATGCGCATAAGCAGTGAACATAGATGATGTGGTTTCCGATTCTCTCTTTTACAATTGCCTACAAACCATTATAACATCCGCTCATACTGGATGCTCCGTTATACGGTTGGGCAACAAGCTTTTCAAATGAAACTCCATGCAATTGTAATATTGTTGTAATAGCAGTGTATAGTTCATGTGCAGTTGCTCCAATTGCTTTTTGACATGACAAAACGTGTTCAGAAGACTCGCCAGTTTCATTAACAAGCCTTATGCATATACTCAATTGCTCTGTATGAGTTATATAGGGCGTTGTATCAGCAATCAATGCCCATGCTTTGCAATTGCGTATTTTTTGTACAATTAAGGAAGATATTTCTTTAGCAATGATATTGATTAACTTATTTTGAATATCGTTGCTCAAAAACGTTAGCCATGAGCCACGTCCTTTGATTCCTTTTCCATCAGTTTTACCATCATCCTTTGTCGATTGCTTCACTTGGTGATCACGAACTTTCTCAAGATGCTCATTGATTGGTTGATCATACTCTGACAATAATTTATGCGTTTCCATAAAGTTTCCTGTATTAAGATAGAAATTTTTCAGTGCTTCACAGTGACCCTTAAAGGAAAGCCCTTGTCTTCCAAGAAACATAATAACATCTATCACACATTTCAAAACTGTTTTGTTTAAAACAAATTTCTTTTTACGTCTTTCAGACTCGATTTTCCCTGGTGATAAACTGATACAATATTGAGTTTTCTTGAAGGAAAAGAGCTTCTGCAACTTTTGCGTTTAGATGAGAATTGCATTTTTCATGCTCCATAATTCTAATATACTACTTTTTCATTTTGGAGAAACTAATGTTTGCAAAAGCTTTTCCTTGATTTGACCGAATATTTTCTCCCCTAGACGTTACATCTGTAAACAGAATGCATGGTGTGCAAAAAAAGCTGTCTTTACTTCGAGAGTAGGAAATCCATTTTGGTCTTGTTCCACCATCGTGGAAAAAATCCTGCTAAGAGCTGTAGTGAGTGCGATTTCTTTGTACTATCCTCTTTTGTTTCAAAACAAACTGGGATGATTGGCATAGATTTATCTTAAGTAAACGCCTTTTTTAGCTAATGCTAAGATTAAGACCAACAACTGTCCCAGGGTGAAACGTGTTTTCTTTTGTATTAATAGAAATATTTCGATTCAATTCATTTTCAGCAGATTCTGAGATGCCTTCGTCTTTGTTAGGTTCATTTGAATTGACAAAGCTGTCAAATTCAGGGCATTCACTAACAGAATCATTGATTTTGATTGATTTGAAAGTATGCTCAACTTGATCGTCTAGATCTATCGACTCAGATTTTTCTTGCGTATGCACTTGTTTAAGGTCTTCACGTATACTTGGCGTTTCCCTGAGCTTAATTCTAACTTCTCTGTTGTTTGTGACAAAATAAATGGTGGGTAATTTTGTATAGGTTTAAAGTAATCAAGCAAAACTCCCCGAAGTTTTGAAAATTCTTCTTGTCTAGCTTTCTTTAATCTTCAATACTCAGCACCCGACTATTTTCTCTTCGTGGTGTTGAAAGAATTAGACATTGCAGTTAGTCTTTAACACTGCACCATGATCCATGATGTACATTAAATAATATTAAAATAGATTTCCCAACACAAATGGAATTATCAAATGAAATGTTTGTTTTGTGAATTACATCTGTATTGCAAGCAATCGAAGCTCAAAATGAGAGTTTTGAATTTTGAGACATTAATTTAATTGGTCTTCAAGTGTTGTTGTCTAAAAAATACCTTAATTTCAATTAAATATATGCTGTTATGCTCATTCGATAACTGCGGATAAATGAATCTTGAACGTTTACGAAGAAGCTTTAAGTGATTTAAAAAAGTTTTACCGTATAATAACTTGCTTTACTACTGAAAATGACAAATGTGCGTCGTAACGATGAAAATGTAAATAACACAATACGAACAATGCAAAACATGCTGCGGTATCATTAAGTGCTACTTCATGTTAGACTATGCATTATGATAGCAATTTACCGATGACTGCACTACTGTCATTTTTCAAAAATATATTATTACGCTCGGATTAATAATAAGATACAATGCCAGTAACGATTATTGTCTGTGAGGGAAGAAAAAATCATTGATTAAGATAGGCAAGAAATTACACATTTTAGGCCTTGTTGGCCCCTTAGGAGGACAGTTTCGCCATGTATGCATAGGCGAAACTGGAATGCTAATGTAAATATTCATATATTCAGCTCTGCCTTGCTGTTGATTTCTTTTGTTGGCGAAATTAAATTCTGTAGAAATCAGCAGGGCAAAGCTGAATATATGAATATTTATTAGCGTTCTAGTTTCTCTCCTGCATGTATGTTGTCTACAGTCATCGTGACAACTTATGCCGGCGTTGTGGCCACAAATGAAACATCTAATTCTAGAATGATCGTCAATATCTTATTCTTTAATCGACCCCCTGACAAGATTTTATTTTGGTCTGTCTACTTCCTTTCTCCCCTAATTCCCTAAAAATAACTTCATTCACTGAATATATAACTGTGAAAACAACTGTTCTGTTTTAAATGCGTTTTTATTTTTATAGCCCATATTTAAAACTTGATGACTCGTATTCAATTCAGCGACCCCCAAATCAACAGCTAGGTGGGGCCTTTTCCTATTTATGTTGTTAAATATCAATATACTTTTCTACTTATTTGTTAATGTGTGAAACCGTAAATCTGTTTGCAAAATAGTTTCTCTAACGCGAAAAAGATTCTGCTCTTTTTACTCAGTGGACAGATACTATGTAGAAACAATCACCCCCAAAGATTACACATAATGTAGAGCAGAGCTTGTTCAGATCAATTTGCTGTTAACATAAAGAGATGATCGGATAGCAAAATGTTTCTGGAATATGCTGCAGTACCAGTATCAACACTATTTCATAGAGCACTATGAAGACAATTGGAAGATGCTTTTGGAGGACACTATTGAGTCTAACTGCAAAATGCTAAGGCTGAATACAAACAAAGGTAAATAATTTACAGACTTCCCTGTCCAACAGTTACTTCAACTTGGACTAATTCTATGGATGGAGATAATGGATTTCGTAAAGATGTCTTGAATGCTTTGAAAGCAAAGGTCTAGTACCAAAGAATAATGACAAGGTTTTGTCAAGGTTTTGACAATGTGTCAAGATTTTGTCTTGATGCTTGATGAAATGTCATGTAAAAGCAGGGGGCGGATCTAGGGTATGTCAAATCACTCACGCAACTGATGTTTATAGTTCAAAAATTATTTATCAAATTTAATGATTACATTTTTTGTATTCATTTTGTCGATTTTTTCGTTAATTCCCATGACATTGATAGCACAAAAGTAGCAATCGGTTGCATGATTTGATGGCTCTCGCCAAATCATGGGGATGCCAAAGTTCATGGACTTTCGCGTGCCTTTGCTCCATTGACGGAGATGCTCTGTGCATGTTTTGTAAACCATGTGAGGTGTCCAACTTTTGTCTTGATCGCCGAGCTTCATGCCAAAATATGCATTGTAAAAGCGCTTCGTAAAGGTGGTGACAGTATTGCGATTTGGTGCAAGTGTGTATTCACCACAAACATAGCAAAAAACATTTGGCTTATTTACACACATTCTTCGCGTCGCCAATGTATACCTGAAAAAATAAAAATTAAATTTGTGTACGTTGTCTCCATGAAATTTAAAGTCTGTGTCAAAAAAATTCGGCACAATCATATCTTTGTCCTGCGAGCAGTTTTAATCGCACAGTAATGAAATAATTTTACTTTGAAAGTACAGAAAAAAATTTGCAATGTACATTTCATCACAGAACATCTGGACAGATGGATACCTAACCAATGCGTAAGACTTACCTTCCGCGACTTCTCGTCTGCTTTTAATAACATGAAATAATTAACACTTTGTTTTATTATTTTTACTTACATTAATATGTTGGTGTGTTTTAACAACAAGTTTTACCATTGAATTCCAGTATGGGCGAAATAAAGCCTTATTTTATCTATAAATATCGCATAATAATCGCAAAACTTAGACTCCTACTTAAAATTCAATCAAAATTGTTTATTCAAATACTTTCTTCTTTGTATTGCTAGTGCTAAAAATTTAAATTTGTTCAGGTAATAGAACTTTAAACGGTAAATGGTAATACTTCTGTTGTACCTTTCTCGGTATTTGAAAGTTAAAAATAGAAAATTAACGATAGCTTAAAATGTCGACCTGACCCAGCAAAACAGTGTTATTTTTCGATTCAGCACATCAAAATCATCCAAAATCAGTTCACAAAACTGAAACGCCAAATTTGCTGTTGACCAGTGTAGAGAGTCTTTCTGACCAATAAAGCTTTTTATTTTGACAATTAGACTGTGATAGTATTAAACCAGAGCGATTTCACATACATAAAATGTTGTACCATGCCACATATTGTCCCCTTTTGTAACTGAACATCTCATGTAGACATGCCAAGGTGTGTTGATCTATGGCTCAAACTAGATTCTTTTCCAGAAATTTCTAGATGATTTAAGCCACTCGTATTTGGCAAAAATTCTTTGTGATGGTACTCTTTTTCATACTCATTCAGTAAGTTATAAGTTTGCTAGTCATTGCTTAATATGAATTATGAAGTCCTTTTTCGTGTTCAATTCAACTGTTAACATACTATAAAAAACATATATTTGTCATCCATACCGGAAAAATGTTGAAAATGGTTAAGCAATGTAAATATGTGGGTTGTAAAAACAGAAAAAGAAAAAAGAATAAGTATAACTGACTCTTTACTAATATCACCGTTGATGAAACCATTGAAATAATTACTAACCGTTTGTTTGCCTCTCCAGCCATTTTCCTTTCAAGGACAAAGTGCCCAAAACTCTGAAATCAAATGTTGTCTAGTTTTTCATGTGTGTGCTGCTCCGCATCGTACGTGGGACAAACCACTTGCCACCTACACACTCGAATTTCAGAGCATTTTAGCATCACCCTTTGACTGGTAAACCTTCTAAACATCCCAGTCTTTCCTCCATACTATCACACCTTAAATCCACAGGACACACCACATTGTTCGAGGATTTTAAAATACTTTCTTCATGCTTAGACTCACAAGAGCGTTTTATTTACGAGAGCCTCTTAATCAAAAAAATGAAACCATCTCTTAACGTCCAAGGAAACTCCATTGCCCTTCAGTTGCTTTAATCTAACTTCATCACTCCTCATGTCTATATACTTTATGAATGTGTGTGTGTTTTGTTTCTTCCGTGTTTCTACATATCCCACGTTATACCATCTTATCCCATATTTACCTTCACGTTTTCATCTCACCATATTATTTAATATTATGTAAATAGCTATTATATATACATCTCTCCATACTTGTAATTTAATACTGTCTGATGGTGTCTTGAGAGTCGTTACGCTTCGAAACGTTACGCTTCTAAACAAATATTTCTTTTTATATGTTACTTTTGCATTTAATGGCTCTTTTAAAAGCACTTTGCTGGGCTTTGATATTTATATTAAGAAAAAAGAATAACATACGTTTTCACTGCGTATAGTTTAATTAAAACATAGAATTAAAGCATAGGGAGATTATAAGCTAGGAGTTTCTATCG